ACAGGCAAGATGGGCTTAATTTTATGAAGTAGGAATCCAGTTTCATGGATAGCTGAAAATTAAATAAAATCGAGGATATTTCCTTCTCCCGAACACATAATGAAGTTGCACTGAGTAACGAGGGGTGAGCTGCTCACCAGCAGGAGGCTCTGACCCAGGCCCTTCTCTAGGACCCCAGGGCTTCCTGAGAACACTCGGGGTCTAACAGCCAACAGAATGAGAGGCTGACCCTGAAACGCAAGGACTAGCTCACAGTCAGGCTTCAGCCAGTCTCTTAAAACCATGAGCAAAATGAATTAATACTCATCCAATAATACCTATTTATACCCAAGAAAGTCATAAATGGACAGACAACACAAAGAATTTTTGACAAGAATGAGTAGAGAATCTTTCAAATGTTCTTTTGAGCATGTATGAAAGAAATGATAATCGCTGAAGAGTATGGAGGTTCGTCAAAAAGCTAAAAGTAGAACGACCATGTGCTCCACCAAACTCACTACAAGATAACTATTCAAAAGAAATGAAATCATTAATGTTGAGAAGACATTCCATTCACACGTTCATTGCAGCTCTAATACCATAGCTAACGACTGGAAACAAATGAACTGTCCATCAACTTACAAGTAGATAAAAATAATGTGGAACACAGTAGAACACTACTCAGCCATCAAAAGGAATGAAAGTGTAGTGTTTGTGGCAACACAGATGGAACTGGGGAAAGTGAAATGAGCAGGTTTCAGAAAGGCAAGGACTGAATGATGTCGCTCAGATGTGGAATCTAAAAAAAATGATCCCATAGAAGCTGAGCAAATGATGGTAGTTCCTGTAGACTTAGGGGAATAGGGAAGGGACAGATGGCCTTTAGCTACTAAGTTAGATGGAAACAAGATGTCCCAGTGTGCCACTGCACAGGAGGGTGACTACAGACCATGATGCCCCTGGCCAGTGTTGCAAAAAAAAAAAGCAAGCTAGAAGAAATGATTTTGGGATTTTCATTAGAAAGCAATGATAGGGGCCATTAGCTTATTGAATCGACTAATCAAGTAATTATTCATTAACATATTTGGTACAGGGTCTCACTAGGCAGCTC